CGGCAGCAGCATAGTGTCCTACCAGTCCACTGCGCTTTTGAATGACTTTGCTCGGTTCAGCGAGAACTGATGCCGTCATGAAGAGGATTGCGACCTAGAAAAGGACGTTCTTAACTTAAAATGGGGTAGGATTAGGCATTTCAAAATAAAAACGTAGAAGAACAGTACGCATTTCATAAATTTTATTTTAAAATTGTTAAAAATGTGTCTACTATTTACATTAGATCTTTTTTCAAGAGACAATTTTCGTTCTCAAAATCTTTGATCGAAAAACACTCACTCTTTATGTGCCGAATGAAAACAATGAGCGACTTTTACCACGTTACGTGTGATGACTTCATTCCACTTAGCATGCGTCCCGGGGTGGACGAAAACGAAATTCCGATTGTCAATTGAATGATTAAACAGCTACGAATATTATAAGCGATAATCAATAAATGCAGTTTGTTTTTGTTATTGCTTTCGATTTCATATAGATATCTATTATTTTAATGCAATGCAGTATAACTATGATTATAAGGTCTTGGGTTTGAAAATATTAGTCTAGTTAAATTAATTCTTATCCTAATAAATAAGCCTAGTTTACGAGGTTGAAAGGTTTTGAGTATTTTAAAATACATTGTAATGTTTAACCAAAAACGTTATTACGCGAACGCTTCAATTTTCAATTGAAACTTAATCAAGGTATAATATTAAGGACTTTTTTTTTTAATTTCAAACAACTTCAGTTCTAAGTTCTTCTAGATAATGTAGTCAATATTATATTTACTTCTGATTAATGGTTTAAAATTAATAACCATTTATTTTCAAACACTAATGTTTTTGTAACAATTTTTTTTTTATTAATTTTTAAATACCTGTTCTAATTTTTTTTTTAATTTTAATTTTGTGCTATTATTTTAATCTGTTTATCTTTGTTTATTATTGAATAATATACTCAAATTACACTTACGAAGGCTTTCATTTTGCTTGTAAGTTCACGCACAACACTTAGATAACTAACACTGTCGGTGACCACTGGTCATGTGTACCCTGTTTGCAAAGAAATTACTTTATATAAGGCCTGTGCTACCCCTACTATAGGCCGAAGGATTTTTACGTCAAACTCGATTATTTGCAACACAGTCATAATAGAACTTGTAGATGAATCTTGTTAACTAAATATAATTTTAACAAACTTTTTAGATTAATTAGATTTGAAAAAAAATGATTAAAGGACTATTTGAATTGGTAAAGATTTTTTATTTTACAATACTATTGCGTTGCTGCAGTTGAAATAGTTAAAGTTTTTTTTAATAATTGTCATTTTATTTTGCGTGTATGTCATAGAATAAAGCCAAGATAGCTTTTAAAAATGACATAAATATTAGGCACTATTACTATATAGGTCCACCTAGACCTACTATATTTTGCCCGCGACTCTGTCCTCCCGGAGTTAAAAAAAATTTACTAAGTAACAAAATTTTTCTTCATCTAGACTATTTTTTACATCTGTTAAAAATATCTTTTAAACTTCTGAACGGATCTCGATGATATTTGGCATAGATGTAGAGCATAGTCTGAAAGAACACATAGGCTACTTCACAAGCGCCAATAGCCTAATTGTTTGGGGTACGGACTACCGATCTTGCGGTCGAGGATTCGAATCCCGCCATTCGACTGTCGTGAACTATATCCTACCACAAGCCTAGAGCTTAGTTGGAATGGTTAAAGGAAATATTAGTAAATTAAGAAAAAATTACTAATATTTAAAAAAAAATTGGGCGACAATTTAGTAAGATTAGCTATATTTCTTTGGTTATGGAATTCTTTGAATCTTATTTATCTATTAATGGGCTATATGTTGCAATATAGACATTAATTTTGCAATATATTTTATTGATTTCGTTTAATTACTGTTTGTCAATATTTGAAAGTACTGTAACTTGCTTCTTGTTTGGTTTAATATCTGGGGTTGGGCCACTAAATCTGCACTAAATTTGAACTACGACTATTATATTTTGCAAACAATTTTCAGTTGAATAATCTAACAATATGAGATGTTTGTGACCATTTCAACGCTCATTATTTATTTTCTTCGTTTCATGTTTATTTGATTCTTTACTAACTAGATTGCTTTTTATTATTTTTTTTGTTACAGTACTTTGTAATATTTAAGTTTTTAATTGCGTTGCAAAGACTTCGTCCTCGCGGAGTAGCTTATATGTTCTTCCATACTATATGTATGCCTTTAAGCAAGATGCGTATAGTCTTTGTGAGATAACCTTCTAACATTCATACAAAAACTTTCGCATTTATAATGTAAGCAGTTGTATTGAGTTTTAAAACATACAAATAGATAATTAAATATGAAATAATTCTTTATTAAAGTTTTTACTAGGATATGTAATTGTATAGTTGACAAAAATGGTCGAATAGCGGGATTCGAACCCAGGGTACAATGATGTCTACTTCAAACTTTAAACCAGTAAACTTTTCTTTATGTTTGCTTACCGCTATCTTTCTGAATCTGTTCCGAAACAGTTGACAACAGAAATTGAGAGAACTTTGTAAATATTTTAAAACTAGATTTCGCCTGCGAGTTCATCCTCGTGGGATTAAAAAAAATCTAAGGATTCTATGTGTTTTTCAGACTGTACTTTACATTTATGCCAAATTTCATCGAGATTCGTTCAGCAGTTTAAACTACAAACTCTAACAATAATCCATCCATCCATCTAAACTTTTTTTTATATTATTAGTAAGATGTAACTATTAAAAAGGTTAAATTTGATATTCACTGGCGTTTAGATATAAAAAGCGCTCCATATTATTA